ACATAATTTTTATTTTTAAGATTGTCTTAAATTTTACTAAGCTGAGGGTTTATTGGAAACAGTCTTTCTATCCTCACAAGATAGGTATAAGGTCTGCGTACACTATTCTTCCTACATACCACGGTGTGAGATAATATTGAATATATTGTTGTTCTTGTTGTAAGATTGTCTTAAATTTTGATTCAATGCATAGTCAATGTTCTCTGGGAAAAAAGCTTTTCTATTAAGGAAATTTAATTCTTAAGATTGGATTGAACTCTGATTCAATGCACCTCTTGGTCACACAAACACTAAAATATCGATAAAAATAATACTTACTCATATTCGATGTTTATATTAAATAAAATTAGTTAACATATTTAAGTGCNATATATATATATATTGATTTAATGTAAATATTAGATATGAATAAATATTTAGTCAATGTAGATTTGTTTAAGATTATGCATGTAAGATTTGTTTCTCCAACTGTCTTGACAAAAAATTTCCGATCTAGAAGTAAGATAACTATGATGCTTACACACAGACAATTAATAAAATTAACTCACTCTAATACACATTAGTAGCAAGAATATTGAATTCTAAGATAAACAAAACATATTTTTTAATCTTAACATTACAATTTGAAGTCGTTTGGTTGAGGTTTGTAGAGATTTAATCTTCTCAAAATAGCCCGTATTATTTTATACAACTAGCACTACTAGAAATTCGGCAAAAATCGACCAAGGTCGACCGACGGTCGGTCAAAAAATCGGCCAAAAGACCGACCAAAGTTGGTCGGTTTTTCAAAATATTTTATTTTTAATTTTTATTGCGGGAAACTATTTTTAAGTCCCGCAAAATTTATTTTTTAAAAAACCGACCAACTTTGGTCTGTTTTTTAATTAAAATAAATAAAATTTAATATTAAATTCGGCCGGTCATTTTAAAAACCGACCAACTTTGGTCAGTAATTTTATTTTTTAATAAAACCGACCAACTTTGGTCGATTATTTTCATGCGAAAATACAATTAAAGAGTATAAATCAAATAAAAGACAGTCTTAAAATAAAATGCACCAATGTTCTAATGGTAGAATAGTATTCTGCCACAGTACAAAACCCGGTTCGATTCCCAGATGGTGAATCTTTTGATTACATAATTAAAAAACCGACCAACTTTGGTGGGTTTTTTTCTATTTTTTTTTAATTTAACTGACCGACCAAAGTTGGTCTGTAATTTCAAACCAACTTTGGTCGGTATGCCTTTCCGACCTCTAAAATAGCGTCCACACGTAAATGGTCGTGTTTTGGACGGTTACTGGCCATTATCGACCAAAGTTGATCGGTTTTTACCGAATTTCTAATAGTGTAACTTTAGGGTATGCGCTTTGCGCGTGTACCAGTGTTAATAAAAATAATCATTAAAAATTATATAAGTATTACTAAACAATATGTTTGAGTGATCAAATAAAAAACAAATATAAGTTCCTGAAAATGATAAATGTTAACCCTATTTAACTAGCTTAATTAAAAAAAAAAAAGATGTCTTATTGTGATTTTGGCATTGTCTTTAATTATTAAAGATATCTCTCTCGCTCTCTCTTTAGATTTTTAATTATATTATTATTATTTTGTTATAATTGTTGAGTATAATTTTCAAATATTATGCAAAAGAATAAGAGAAAAATATTAGTATTTGAGTAGAAAATTAAAATTGTTCAAATATAATATCGAACAATTTATAGTTAAACAAGATTAAATGATAATTATATTTAATATAAAATATATTTTAAAGAAAAAATTGGTCATTGTACAAATATAGATAAATCAGTACTAATCGAAATGGTTGCGACATAAATTGCATATAAATTTTGTGTCATGAGAATTATCCTTCTCAAAAGAATTATAATTACAAAGGCATCTGACAAAGTCACGGTGATATTGTATGAGTTAAGCGTAAAATGAACGTGCTTTAAGCATGTTTCTTCCTCTCTTTTTTGCTTTGTTTATTTTTCTGATTATATTTTAGAAAATCATAGCTCCACTTTCACTCTATTACATTGTGTACTATCTCCGAATGATTGAATTGATAGTGCTTTTGAATAAAATATTTAATAGTATATTTAAGTTAATTTATTTAGCAGGGACGGTGGGAACTTTGAGTACTCCCCAAAACTAATAGATATTGATGGGAGTTAGTTTCAATATTAAAAAAACAGTTATCAACTTTTAAAAAAGTGTGAATATATATTTGTACGTTTCTTGTTTGTGCAATGAACTAAAATTAATTTTAGCTGTTTTCAAATAAGGAAAATATTTATATAAGGTGAAACTTAATTAACTTTAAATTCCTAAATATAGGAGTTTTTACATAGTTCAAATAAGAAAAAATATAATAATCGATATTTTAGATGATTTCAAATTCCTAAATATTAGGAACATAATTATTAAATTACAATTTTGTTCAATATGAAATCTAGTTTTAAGGGACAAAAAAGGCGAACGACATTTCGTTAAAGGTTTTCGTGCTTTTAATATAGTACTAGTCTTAGAGTACGTGCTTGCACGTGTTTGTTGAGTCAATAACAAAAAACTATTGATAAACTATATTCTTCATCATACAAATAAATATTAATATCGTGTTTTAATCGAAATAAAATATTTCAATTAGAAATTTTGAACTAAATATTAAATAATGTGCAAGCACAAGTTGCTCCGTATTTGAACAAAATTATAATTTTGGTAAAAAGATGTTAGAGGCTATACTATTTAAAAAATGGTATTTTACTAATCTTTTTCAATTTTAATTTTTTAGAAGTTATGGGTCTTCATTGTTTCCTTTTTTCTTTTCTTTTTTTTTTTGGTCTTCTTGATATGCTTTTGCCTTCTATCTTTTCATCTTTAATTTTTATTGCATCAACTTTTACAATTTCGTGTAACTCCAATATAATTAAACATCTTCTAACACGATGCCCTCAATTTATTGTATATATTTTGAAAAGAAAGATAGATATTTTTTACCCATACTTAGGACCATTTTACGATAAAAATTATTTTTGTTAAAAAAATAGCAGGTTAGATAAAAATATGGACTATATATATTTATTGTATTGTAAAAATTAGATGAAAATGATATAACATTTTGAGAGATTAACTCTATATGTTTTGTATTATCACAACTTTCAGCCAACCTAGTATCTTGTAGCTTCAAAAAGTGTCATATTACTACTCATGTTTATTATTGTTAATATCAAACACTTCATATATTGAAATATATCTAAAAGTCATACATAAATAAGTTGTTATTGCATTTATGGATATATCACAATGAATCTTTTAATCTTAAATAATTATAAACCCCTAAATATTAGGATTTATCACATAGTTCAATTGAATTGAATTCTTTTGCTAATTAGTTAATTAAAAAATGTAACTATTTGTTCTTAGCGCTATAAGGATAATTCTTTACTTTTTCAGATTCTTATAATAGCTCATCTATTTTAAATTATTTAAGTGTACTTGCTAAGGAAAATTAAAAAAAAATTATATTGTTAACTTTTCAGTAATAAAAAATAAAAATCAAAAATTAATAAAGTAATAGGAATTGAGTTGCATTGGTTGGGAAAATATTTTTTGATCTCAATAGAAAATATGGCAAATAGGTTGCAACAAATAAGGAAATTAAGAATTTTTAGAAAGTAAAATATTAATTAATTTTAAAATCCTAAATATTATGAGAGTAACTTAAATTACAATTTTATCCACTATAAAATTTATTTTTAAGGGTATTCGTGCTTTTAATATAACATAAATATAGATATATAGATATGTGATCGTTACTTTTGTCTTCCTAATAAGTAATACATACACAAGTTTTGTGAGAATTTATGTTTTATTTTATGTGTCATAAAAAAGTACTACTATAAATGCGGACACAAGTAATACATGGATTAAAAACACGACAAAGCCAACCCTTATACTGTATTAGTAAGCAAACTTTTATTTTGTTTTCTTCTTTTGAAAATTAAACACTATATATTATTGTATTTATATCGAGCTAAACATTTAACTTTTTTTTTTTTGGCATTACTTTTTTTTAATTATTGCATTGTTGATTCGTGTAGGGGTGTCAATGGATATTTAAAAACTAATTAAACCGACAGAACGGTACCGCACCGAACCGATTTTTATGTTTTCTTTAATAAAACCGTAGGTTTTTATATAAATTTATAATCGTACCGATAATTAGGGTAGTTTTTTTATTTTATGAAAATAAACCGAAAAAATACCGAACCGCACCGAATAAATTTACATAAAAAAATATATTTATATATTAAGTTTAAAAATAATAATGCGTTAACATTTTTCTTGGGCCTTGAAATTATAAAAACGATTACAAACCAACAAGTAATTAAACTCAAAATCCTTATTTCCAATTCTATTATATAATATTGAAACTAAATTATTTCCAGCATATTCACTAGTAAGACACAAGGTATTCTAGCGATTATGAGTAGCAAACTATAATGTATTGAATATTTTTTTTTCCGTATGATTTAAATTTATATATTCTTGAGTCTCAACTTACTTAATATCTTTCCACTCGTGTGATTTAAATTTTTTTTATTTTTGCTTAGTTTCTTTTACGCTGTTGTAGTTGATGAATCTATACTCTAGTCATCTTTCATGTTTTCTTAATTCATCACCTTTTAAATAGTAAAAATATCTAGAGAGTTTTATTAAATCCTATAAAAGTACGTATGTTGTTGCATTCTGCTTCTAGCAGTGATTTTTAAGTAACATTTAAAAAAATACTGAAAATTAAACTGAATCGTACCGATATTGAAGAGAAACTGACATGATTTGTACGGTTTCTAAAAGTTTAATATTGATTATACATAATAGAATAACTGAAAAATTAGTATAGTACAAATTTTATAAAATATTTGGCGGAACCGAACCATTAGTGTATAACTTTGTTCATAAACCAAATTACATAGCAAAGCCGCTGTACATAGACCAAAAAGAAAAGAAATTGTACTTATTTCCACCCGAGATATTTCACTTCGATATCTTGGCGCGGCGGCAAGTTTCCCATCTCCACCCCACGAAAAAAGGGCGCAAAGCTGCTAGGGTTTTTGCAATTACAGAGGCTCTCGACCTCCAATTACTCTCCTCGATATTCAATTCCGCCTAATAAATCCATAAGCTAGCTTCGCCTCTGGTACTACATGTCAAGATTTTGTTAGGGTTTAGATGAAAAGTGCGGAACCACAGGTAAAAAGTTATAGGTTGTAGTTGGAAATAATCTCGTATTTATTTGCAGGTATATTTATAGATAGAGAAACAATAGGAACAAAATGGATTATGATGTAGCTGAACAAAATGATGGTAACTATCAACCACTACAGCCGTATTCAGAAACCCGTGGAGATAATAGTGCAGGCCGTGAATTAAAGCATTCAATCGATGATTCTTCTGCAGGGTTAGTTTGTAGCTTAGTACTTAGTTTTTTAGCTTCTAGTTTTGGGTCTTTAGGGTTTAGATGATGGCAAAACGCATGAGGCCATGCCGAAAGTATTGTAACTTTGCTGGTTTTGCTTGTTGTTAGAAAGCTTTTCGTTGGAGGCATTGCTTGGGAGACCAATGAAGGTATTCTAATTTCTGATTCTGATTTCCTTTTTCACTTGTATATGATTTAACATGTTTTAGTATTTGATTGCTTCTTTTTGCTTAGACTTGGAGACAGATGCGGTGTTGGCTTGGACAACTAGTATAGCCTTTTAATTGACATATGGATCGGTAGTAATTTTAAAGATAAATATTACTAGTTGAATTCCTGATGTAGCTGTCTAGATTCTAGTTGTTCTGCTTTTTGTTCATTAGGATTTGGTTGTGATGTAGTGGAAATCTTAAAAGCCTACTTATTGTATGAGTTTGATATAGGAAAAGATATATTTCCTGTGGAAGTTCTTATGTTTATTAGGAAGGTGGAAACTTGGGCCTTCAGTTTACACTATTATACCTTGAGTTTCCTGCCCAACAAATATGAAATGTTCGTTTCTAAATAATATCATAAGCATCTTTTTCTTAGTGTTTTATTTAATTAAGTCATGCACATATATCTTAGCTGCATCACGAGGTGTAGTTCCCTGGTNGGGAGGGGGGGATGAAACATTTTGCAAACATCTTCAGGAAAACAATAAAGCATCCTTTAAGTCATATGCTCCTCTGATACGATAATTCAGTTTCGTGAGTTAATTATCTCCTTTCTTATGTATTTGCCTGGTTTTGGGTGAATCCGTAATATATTCAAATGATTTAAAAAAAAACTGTTGCATTGTTGTAAGAACGCACTTTCAAATAGTTTTATGTTAGTTAAAATATGTATATTGTGTCCGCTTTGTTTTTATTTCTTACTCTTAAATCCAACTCTCAGCTCGATACTTATTTTGTACATGTTATTTTCCAGAATCTTTTAGGAAATATTTCAGCAGGTTTGGAGAGACAACTGATTGTGTGATAATGATGGATAAGGTCTCTGGAAGGCCGCGAGGATTTGGATTTGTAACATTTGCTGACCCAGAAGTTGTGAATAAGGTTTTAGAGGAAGACCTCGTCATAGATGGTAGAACGGTAGGATTTTTGAGTGGGAGTATCTTGTAATGTCATGTTTTCTTTGGTTTATTTGGAAGTTTGTATTTAGTAAATTTACTATGATTATTGGATCAGGTGGAAGTGAAGAGGACAGTACCTAAGGAGGACATGCAAGTTAAAGGAGCTCCCAAAACAAAGAAAATTTTTGTCGGCGGTCTTCCATTATCTTTAACCGAAGGTAAAATTCAATACGAGTTCTTATTGTCTGTGAGCTAAAATAAATGTTTTAATCCTGTGATTCATTGCAGATGAGTTGAAGGAATATTTTTCTTCTTATGGCTATGTTCTGGAGCACCAAATCATGCTGGACCGCGAGACTGGTCGGTCCCGAGGCTTTGGCTTCGTGACTTTTGATAGTGAACATGCCATTGAAAAAGTTTTAAACAATGGCCGTATGCATGAAATCTGTGGCAAACAAGTAAGTCATGTGGACTGTATATTAATCATGATTAATTATCTCCATGGTACTTGTGTGAAATGAAATATATACAGCTCTTTGACATTTAGACATCTTCAGGTTGAAATTAAGAGGGCTGAGCCAAAAAGAGCTGGTCCTGAATATGCAAACGGGAGCAGGCAGCATCTTGGTGGTAGTGGCTCGAAATCATACAGTGGCTTTGGTGGGTCTGAAGGAGGGTTTGGTGGTGGATATGGTGGAATGATGGGTAGAGGGTATGGTGGATATGGCGGCTATGGTGGTTATGGAAACATTGGAGGAAGTTATGGTGGGGGTGCTGCAGGATTCTACTCTGGGTATGGTGGATATGGTTATGGATTTGGGTTTAGTGGACCTATGTATGGGGCAGGTGGATACGGAGGCACTAGCTATGCGGCTCCTGGTAGCTATGGTGGTCCCACTGGGTATGCTGGCGGTAGAGGATATACAAGCGGCGATGGTAGCTGGTATGGTGGGGCTAAAGGCTCCGTATCTGGCAATGCTAAAGGGTATGGTGTTGGTGGTAGCACTGGAGGTGCTAAAGCATATGGGAATGGTGGTGCTGCAAGCGGAAGGTTTCATCCCTACCAGAAGTGAGACGTTCCTCGTGAGTCTGGAGTTGCAATTGCTTTGACTACTATTGGCGGGTCCGAGCTAGGTGTAAAATCTTTGCTGCTGAGTTTGTTTCCTTGTGCGGTTGATTTTCAGTGAAATGTTATCAGCTTATTTGTTGATTAAGCCTTCTGTAGATGTACTAGCATATTGGTTTTGGGAGAACGATAGTATAGTCTTTTGGCTTAACTTTTGCAAATTGCTTAATCATCTCTGTGTAAGGTCAGGATAGAAGTTACAAACTTTGTTCTTCTGGTGGCACACTCGGATATGATTGCTTCTGCTGACGGTCTCTTGGTTAGTTGGTAAATTAGAGTATGTGCTATAAACATTGACTTCTGAGAAGTCTCATTTTTAGTAAGTTGTATATAAAAAATGTGTCCAACCCATTGTTTTATATATTTAAATGATTTTAGCGAGCTTTTAAAATTGAAAGTCGCTTCTGCAAAATTTTGCAAACACGAACCTCTTTTGTAATTTTTGCAAAAATCCTACTTTTGTATGTAGCATCTAGTCTAGAGCATAAAAGATAAGACCTTTGCAATATCGCCATTAAAGGGCGAATCCTATAGGTTTCTTACCTTAGTACTACAACAACATCAACCCAGTAGAATCCCATTAATGGGGTCTGGGGAGGGTAGTCTGTACGCAGACCTTATCCCTACCCCAAAGGAGTAGAGAGGCTGTTTCCGAAAGATTCTCGGCTCAAGAAAATGAAAAGACAAAACGACAAGAGGAGACAACATTAGTATCACCACAACAATTATAGAAAAAATAGGAACACCATAAAATGCAGAAGAAAGATGCAAAACAAAACGATAGCTAGTAAATAGGACATGCACTGAAAAGCGAAGTAGTAAAACACAACATTGTCGATAGCTACCCAAGACAAAATCCCTACGTGAACAGTCCCACAATGGTACGAAGTAAGTCAAGACTTAACTACATTCTAACCTACAACTCTAATACTCGACCTCCACATCTTCCTATCAAGTGTCATGTCCTCGGAAATCTGGAGCCTCGCCATATCCTGTCTGATAACCTCTCCCCAATACTTCTTAGGCCGCCCTCTACCTCTTCTCGTGCCCTCCACAACCAGCCGCTCACACCTCCGTACCGGAGCATCTGGGCTTCTCCTTTGAACATGTCCGAACCATCTAAGCCTCGCTTCCCGCATCTTGTCATAAATGGGAGCCATGTGCACCTTCTCCCGAATAACATCATTCCTAATCTTATCTATCCTAGTGTGCCCGCACATCCACCTCAACATCCTCATTTCTGCTACTTTCATCTTCTGGATATGTGAGTTCTTAACGGGCCAACACTCAGCCCCATACAACATGGTTGGTCTAACCACCGTTTTATAGAACTTACCTTTGAGTATTTGTGGCACTCTCTTGTCACACAGGACTCCAGATGCTAATCTCCACTTCATTCATCTTACCCCAATACGGTGTGTGACATCCTCGTCGATCTCCCCTCCCCCCTGGATAACCGAACCAAGGTACTTGAAGCTGCCTTTACTCGGGATGACCTGTGATTCAAGCCTCACATCCACGCTCACTTCCCCTGGCTTAACGCTAAATTTACACTCCAGTTATTTCGTCTTCGTCCTGCTCAACTTGAAACCCTTAGACTCAAGAGCCTGTCTCCAAACCTCTAGCCTCTTGTTAACACCGGCTTGCGACTCATCAATCAGAACTATGTCATCGGCAAATAGCATGCACCATGGCACCTCCCCTTGAATATGGTGTGTTAACGNCCGGCTCGCGACTCATCAATCAGAACTATGTCATCGGCAAATAGCATGCACCATGGCACCTCCCCTTGAATATGGTGTGTTAACGCGTCGATCACGAGGGCGAATAAGAACGGACTGAGCGCAGAACCTTGGTGTAACCCCATTACAACCGAAACTGCTCAGGTTTCTTACCTTAGTGATTTTGGTTATCTATAAATTGTTGAAATCCGAAGTAATCCAATGTTCCTTAACAGCTTATCTTGCTAAATAAGTTGGTATTTCCAGTAACACTCACTCGCTATTTTATCTAATATCACATATTATTGCTACAATAACTTTACACCTTCAAAGTACTAGTTTAAACTAAGAATTTAAAAGAATACTTAAAAAAACCACACCTGGGGATCTATTGTCCTCTTTATTTTTTGTCTAGGACACAGAGAGCGTATGTTCACTATTTAGACTAAAAAATTTAGTAGGTGTAATAACAATATTTGGTTGAAGCATTAAAAAGTATTTGAATTGAAATTTTAAAAGAGTATTTGAAAGTTAAAACTTACTTCATCCGGTACAATAAGTTGCTTTTTTGATCTTTTTATTTTGGTTCAAAATAAGTGTTCTTTTTACATAATCAAGAATGAATTAACTATATTTTTTTTAAATTTGTCCTTATTTATATATCACAATGTGTCAAGTTAACAATATGTAAATTTTAATTAAGGGTAATTTAGTCAAGATATTTAATTTTTTCTATGAGTCATTATATTTTTAAGGGGTGTGCCAAATATCAAAAAAAATCGCTTGTTATGGATCGGGAGGGAGTTGTATCTTATTTAAAAAATATTTTACCTATATTTCAAATATTAAAGTTGATAGCCAAATGTAGGATATTGAACTCCTCTGAGCCAAGTAGCCAATGGTTTATTAGGCAGATTAGTGATTTAGAGGACTGTGAAAGAGATAGCGAAAGGACAAGTGTCTGTTGCTGATAACAACAAGGCCATACCCTGAAACTCACAGAGTAGAGAAACGACAAATTACAAAAAGAGGAAGAAAAAGCGAAGAATGGCCAAAACATTGATGCTTTAACCCAATTGCAGTTTCGAAATCCTATCTACTGTACTCTTCAATTCACCTCCAAAAGCTACAGCATCGGGAGCCATGGCAATGTGCTCCACTTTTTGTCCCCGTGTATCCACTCACCTAAATTGCAAACCCTTCTCCTTTTCCCCAGCTAAAACCCGTCGCTTCTTTGTTTCATTCAAGGCCTTTTCTTCTCAAACTTCTGCTTCTACTCCCAAAGGTAAATTCTTCTTTCTTTTGTTTTTTCCTTCTAATTTTCATAGCATGTATCGAGCTTCTGTTTCTCTAGTTTGAAATTGTTTACCATTCTGTGAAGATTAATCTGTAAGTACTCGCGTTGGAGTTTAATAAATTTATTATAAAATTCCTATTTGCTTTTCTGGAATAAGACATTATACCCTTTTGTTTATCTCCTCCACTCCTCCACTGAGTGTCCAGAAAAGTAGACTATCTAAGACACAACTGGAATTTAATTAAGCCACTAACATGGCTCAGCATTTCTCTCTCATCGCTTTGGAATTTAAGTTGTATATCTGTATACGGGTAGAACCGAGCTTTATGCTTCATCGAGGCATCTGGAACAATAGATCGAGGCTCGGCCCCTTACCTAAGAAATCGAAGTTACAAATATGACTAAGCTCGATATCGAGGTCGAAGTTCGTACAAGATCATCTGATTTGCCCTCGAATTTATTGGGGGTACGACCGACCCTGCTTCTAACGACCTCGAAGAAAAATTTTGCCAACTCACACGACAAGTATCCGTGATTCTCGCCACTGACCAATCATTATGGCGGAAATTACGGGATTAAGTCAATAAGGGAGCCAACAGTCTACATAATTTCCTATAAAATAATGTCTTAAAGGTTTATCTCCCTGTATATATAAAAAGGGAATGGAGTGAGTCTTGGGACACATTGTAACATACTTAAGAGTACAAGATACTATTTTTTCCAGCTTTGTTCATATTATTCTGGCTTCAATAATATCACATCTAAATTCGAAGGAAATTAACCTTGAGAGGCTTAAATTGTTCAATCTGCATGGTTTGTATTTATTTTTCTACTTATTCTTCCATATTAAATCTGATTTCTCGCTTTGTATCAAATTAGATCACGTATCCTTAAAATCACGTATAAATTCAATTGTTATCCAATTTTTTGGGTAAACAGTTTGGCGCCCACTGTGGGGCTAAGGATAATAGTGGTTATTTGGTACAAATCTTCATAACATACATTACTTTACACTTGCTCTTTGAAATATCTTTGATCTCAGGCCAAAAATGGCAAACTCTCAACTGGCACCTCTACATATCGACAACGAGGTTGGTCATCAAGGTGAGAATAGCAACATGACGCCCGTTAATGCTGGGCCACCCGTTAATGCTGGGCTACCCGCTGATGTCGTTTGGATTCAGACTGTAGATCCAATGGATGTAAATTCACATGTGACCATCCACGCGAACTTGCGGACCGACCCTGAAAATAACGTCCGTGGTGTAGCCCGATCTGCAACTCGAAACACACAGAACATTGAAGAAGACGGGATTAGTCTACGCATGATCTTCGAAATGCTACAAGCTCAACAGGTGGCGATAGCTCAGTTGCAAAGCCAAGCCAGGCGCCAAGCAGGGTTGAACCCGATCCACCCCAAAAAGTCACCCGCAGAACGGAACTGGCCATGGTAAGGTCGAATGAACAAGAATCGGGGATTAACCCCGAAATTATAAAAATGTTCGAGGAGCTGACAAAGCGGATAGTGTCAGGGGAAAAGAGGATCGAAGCGAACGATAAAAGGGTTGAAACCTATAATTCCAGGGTAGATCAAATCCCGAGAGCGCCCTTGATATTGAAGGGACTGGATTCCAAGAAGTTCGTGCAAAAACCTTTTCCCCCAAGCGCGGCCCCGAAACCGATCCCCAAGAAATTTCGTATGCTCGAAATACCGAAGTAGAATGGAACGACCGATCCTAACGAGCACGTGACCTCTTATACATGTGCCATCAAAGGGAACGACTTAGAAAACGACGAAATCGAATCTGTTTTACTGAAAACATTTGGGGAGACCTTGTCGAAGGGAGCCATGATATGATATCACAACTTACCTCCTAATTCTATTGACTCATTTGCTATGCTTGCAGACTCTTTCGTAAAAGAATATGCCGGTGCCATCAAGGTCGAAACCAGAAAATCAGACCTTTTCAAAGTCAAACAGAAGGAGCACGAGATGCTCAGAGTTCGTGTCCCGTTTTCAAATGGAACGAATGGATCTGCCGCTGGTCGTTGATGATTGGGCTGTTCAGGCTTTCACTCAGGGACTCAATATTCGAAGCTCGGTGACTTCGCAGCAATTAAAGCAAAGCCTGATAGAATACCTTGCCGTTACCTGGACCGATGTACACAATCGGTATCAATCGAAAATCAGAGTCGAAGATGATCAACTCGGGGCACCTTCGAAGTCTATATATCCCGCCAGGACTCTCGATAGACCCAAGAGGGACATCGATCGTGAACCAGGATCAAACGGGGATCGATATCGGCCCTATAACGGAGATCAAATTAGCAGTGAGTCGGGACGGAACCCCATGAGGAACGACAAGAGAAATGATCGGGGTCGAAGCAACCGGGGGCTCATGACCAAAAATGGCTTCGACAGGACCATCAGGCCTAAAGAAGTACCAAGGCTATCGGAGTACAACTTTAATGTCGATGCTGCCGCCATCGTATCTGCTATCGGGCGCATCAGTGATACCAAATGGCCTCGACCTCTACAATCCGATCCACCTCAAAGGGACCCTAACCAGAGGTGCAAATATCATGGCACTCACGGTCATAGAACGGAAGATTATCGACAGCTGAGGGAAGAAGTAACCCGTTTATTCAACAATGGGCACCTTCGAGATTTTTGAGCGATCGAGCCAAGAACCACTTTAGAAACAGGGATTCTAACAAACCGACAAGACAAAAAGATACTGAATCTCAACACATCATAAATATGATCATCGGTGGAGTCGACATCCCACAAGGGCCAATGTTGAAACGCACCAGAATCTCCGTCAGCAGGGAGAAACGAACTCGAGACTACACACCTGAAAGAGCCTTATCCTTCAGCGACAATGACGCAAAATGGATCATACAACCTCACAATGACGCACTGGTAGTATCTGTACTCGTAAATAAAATTAGAATCAAACGTGTGTTAATTGATCCAGGTAGCTCGGCCAACATTATTCGGTCGAAGGTCGTAGAACAGCTCGGTCTACAGGACAGGATCGTGCTAGCAGTTCGAGTCCTAAACGGGTTCAACATGGCATGCGAAACCACCAAAGGAGAGATAACGTTATTGGTCAACACCGCCGGAATCGTACGAGAAGCCAAGTTTTATGTAATCGAAGGGGATATGAGGTACAACGCCCTTCTTGGAAGGCCATGGATCCACCACATGAGAGCAGTACCCTCAACTCTTCACCAAGTGTTAAAATTTCAGTCCCGGGGGGGATCAAGGCAATCTACGGGGAACAACTAGCCGCTAAAGAGATGTTTGCCATCGAAGAAGTAATTCCGATATCAACGCTCACAACACCGAAGGAACCGAATTCTGGCACCGATCCAAAAGCCAAATAGCAATTACCGACTCCGGTGAAATCCGATCAGATAAGCAAAAGACTTACGAAGACATGATTACGGGGTTCCCCTATCTTTTATAATCCCCGATGACTCCGACGCAATCAAATCAACGGCCGAAAAGCTGGAGCAGGTTGTATTAATAGAGCATTTCCCCGATCGAAAGGTATATCTGGGCACGGGATTAACTCACGAGCTCAAAAAAATTTATTCAATTTCTTATAGTTAACATAAATTGTTTTGCTTGGTCCCATCTTGATATGACAGGGATCCCACAAGAAATAACCACTCACAGACTAAGGATGGACCCGAAAATTAGTCCGGTGAAGCAGAAGAGGAGGCCCCAGTCCGAGGTCAAACATGCTTTCATCAAGGACGAGGTATCTAAACTCCTAAAAATAGGGTCCATTCGAGAGGTTAAATACCCGGATTGGATGAAACATACCTTTGGAAGTTAGAACTTAGAACTAAATAGACTAACATATATTCAAGAGTCACTAGTCAAAAGTTTTAAATAATTAGCTATTCAAATTAAGTTACTCAAATGACCACCAAAAAGTCTTACAGAAATTGTAAGTTCACAAGTTTATAGACAAAAAATAAGTACATATCATACACATTTAAACTACGCTAGACTTGTCACTTGAAACATTGTGCATGAGTACATTCTATTCAAAGGTCATCTTCCTCAATCTCTTCAATGTCAACTTCTTGCAAATCTTTAACTTACTCTTCAAAGAAGACTCCTTCTAGTTGAGGTTCGTCTATTGACAATTCAACTAGATCATTGATACTTTCATCAATATTAAAATAATCCCCACCTAAAACAATACCAAAATAAATTTAGAAGATTGTGAAAGGAACTTATCATGCTAAAGAAATTACTTAAGAAATATCAAATCATGGATATGTATGTATACAGATATACCTAAATCCCAATATTTGCTTGGACCACTTGTATACTTTTCCTTTCTTCGAGAGAGCAAGCGAAGATTATAATGGATAAAAACTAAATCTTCGGCTCTAAAAGTAGCTAGCTTGTTTCTCTTGATGCTATGAATCAATGAAAAAGTACTCCAATTTCTCTCGCAACAAGATGAAGAAGCTGGCTGGGAAAGCAATTTGTAAGCCAGACTTTGTAAAAGTGGAGCATTTACACCATGGTTAGCCCACCAAGATAAAAGCTCCTCATACCCCATAGCATCAATCACATGAGGCTCACCAAAGTAACCATTCCCACAACAAAATGCCCCATACTCCAAAGAAGCTTTCTTTAAATCATTCGGATCCTTGAAATATCTTTGAAAGCATTTGAGCCTATTTTGTGAAATCTCTATATCTTCATTAGGAGCAAGTCTTCTTAACCCGTTGCTTTCACCTTTAAGCCACGACTCATGATAATATTTCGGAACCAATGAATGTGCCATGCAATGCAATGGAGTATTACTCTTATTACACCTTGCCACAAGAATTCCTTGAATTGTAGCAAAAAAATTCGATTGGTCGGTAATAAGATCTTTCCCCTCATGCTCAAATACAGTCACCTTCACCTTTTCAATCATTGTATCCCACATGTCGTAAATAAGGTGCAATTTTGGACAATCAAGGTCGGCACTTCTAAGCATGGATACAATTGGCTCTGTACACCTCAACAAGTATTCAATAATATCCCACCATTCATCATCCATCACAAGAGATTTTATTTCGTGCGCTTTAGCTTCAATTACTTTATCTCCTTTATAATTCTTCCATTCGTCATCCATCACCATTTTTTCCAATGACGATTTAACTCTATGAATACGAGAAGTCATAATAATATGGGAAGAAAATCTTGTTTCCGCAACTTTCAACAAAGATAACTCCGAATACTTTTGGAAAATGGCAAGCGCCATGTCGTGATTCACCACAAAATTCTTTAAGCTACTCACTTGACCAATCAACTTTAATATCCATTCGCAATTTTTAAAGTGAGTTGATTTTTCTGAAGGTTGACACATACTTTTTAAAGCAAGATTCAAACAATGAACAACACATGGTGTCCAAAATATGTGCGGAAAAGTTTGCTCAACAATAGAACCGGCAAGCTTCATATTACCTGCATTATCAGTGATAACTTGGACAACATTCTTTGCATCGACATCTTCTATGGCTTTAATAAATAACTTAGCAATATATTCACCATCCTTAATAATCCCACTTGAATTGATTGATTTTAAGAATATTGGTCCACCACTAGATGCTCCCATTATATTTATCAATGATCGCCTTTTAATATCTGACCATCCATCCGAACAAATCGACAATCCTTTTCTTTTCCATGTATCTTTAATAGGTTGTAGTTTTCTATTAATATGAGCCTTTTCTTGGGCCAAAAGAGTTGTTCTTAACCTATTAAAAGTTGGCGGAACATAACCAGGCAAAGAATTTGCTGCCAAAAACTCCGAATATTTTTTATAGTAAGGAGAAGTTGCAAGGTTAAATGATAAACCTGATGCGTAGAACATACGAGCCGCCAACTTGTCGGCAATGTTTCTGTTACAAATGTTAAAAGATTTCTCTAGTGCTCCACCATTTGAACCTTTTCTTTTTTTCAGTTGTGATAAGTCTGAGCCTTCCGGTAGAGATACATAATTTGCCTTTTTTCTTGCATTCAGTTGTGCGCCAGTTTTTTTCTTTTCAGCTTCTTCGTTCTCCATCTTCAATGTTGCACATACTTCATGAGTAATCTCTTTGCATATAGCAACGCCATGACCAGAGATCTTTAGAAGATGCGCTTTAACTTTAGAATATGAACCAGTAACTTGTTTATTGCAAAAATTACAAGACCACACTCTGTTTCCACCTCCATTAGGAGGAACTGAAAGAACTTTAACATGATTCCATAAGGGTTTGTCATCAAAATCTGATGCATCACTTTTTGTTGGTCTTGAATTGCCTTTTCCTTTTTGTTTCACAGCTGTTGATGAAGCCATTTTAAGGGATATTGGGTGAAGAAAAATTCTAAAATTTTTCAGCTATGGATTCAAAGAAAGTCGAGATGAAGAAGAGAGAGTGAAAATGGCTTGTTTGTCTATGTTCTTGGACAAGAAAATTCATTCAATGAGAAAAAAGATATTCTGATGGGGAGATGGGGAGTTTACGATGACAATAGACTTATTGGACAAATAATTCATTAAATAAACAAAAAGGTATTATGATGGGTGGAGTTTATGATGATAATTCACTTTTTGGACAAGATAATTCACGTCACTTTTCATGGGATAGTAAAATATTGCATTAAATGATGTTTGTACCATTTAGTTTTATCATTTTAATTTGGAAATATTTTTTAATTTTAATAGAAATATAATTATTAATCAAACTCCAAA